TCAGAGTGTTGTAGTTCTCAATGTAGAGATCTTTTGCTTCCTTTGTTAGATTGATTCCTAGATATTTCATTTTTTTGGATGCTATTGTGAAAGGGATTGTTTCCTTCATTTCTCAGTGAGTCTGTTATTTGTGTACAAGAAGGCTATTGATTTTTGAGTGTTTACCTTGTATCCAGCTACTCTACTGTATCTGTCATTTAAGTCTAGAAGTCTTTTGGTGGAGTTTTTTGGGTCTTCAATGAGAGTATCGTATCATCAGCAAATAATGACAGTTTAACTCCTTCCTTTCCTATCTTTCTTCTTTTTATTTTTTTCTCTTGTCTAATTGCTGAGGCTAATGTTTACAAAACTATATTGAACAGGAGTGGTGATAGTGAACATCCTTGTCTTGTTCCTGATTTTAGCGTGAAGGTTTTCAGTTTTTGACCATTTTGTGTGATGTTAGTTGTTGGTTTTTCATAGACAGCCTTTATCAAGTTGACATAAAGACCCTCTATTCCATTTTCTGCAGGGTTTTTTTTTTTTTATCATGAATGGGTGTTGAATGTTATCAAATGCTTTTTCTGAATGTTTTGAGATGATCATATGGTTTTTATCCTTGACTTAATATAGTGTATTACATTTATTGATTTACGTATGTTGAACCATCCTTGCATCCCTGGGATAAATGTGACTTAGTCAGGGTGTATGATCTTTTGATGACCCTCTGTATTGTGTTTGCCAGTATCTTATTGAGGATTTTTGCATCTATGTTCATTAAGGAGGTTGGCCTATAGTTCTCTTTTTTGGTTGGGTCTTTCCCTGGATTTGGAATCAAAGTAACACTTGCTCCCAGGAATGAATTTGGGAGTATTGCTTCCCTCTCAATTTCATTGAAAAGTTTAAAGACTAGTGGCAATAGTTCTTCTCTAAATGTCTTGTAGAATTCAGCAGTGGTGCCATTGGGACCTGGGCTTTTCTTTGTTGGTAAATTTTTTATTACATTTTCAATTTCACTGATTGAAATTGGGGTGTTTAGGATTTTTTTTATCTTCATTCAACTTTGTTAATTCATATGTATCTAGAGATCTGTCAATTTCTTCTGTGTTTTCCATTTTATTAGAGTACAGGTTCTCAAAGTAGGTATTGATGATCCTCTGGATTTCTGCTGGATCTGTTGTGATGTCACCTTTTTCATTCCTAATTGCATGGATTTGAGCCTTTCCTTTTTTGATAAGGTTGGCTAAGGGTTTATCAATTTTATTTATTCTTTAAAAAAACCAACTCTTTGATTCATTGATTTTTTTGTATCATTCTCTTAGTTTCTATTGCATTGATTTCTGCTCTGATCTTTATAATTTCCTCCCTTGGTCAAGCTTTGGATTTGTCTTGCTCATCTTTGTTTGTTTGTTTGTTTGTTTTTGGTACCGGGGATCAAACTCGGGTCATTGCATTTGCGAGGCAAGCGGTGGAACCACTAAGCTAAATCCCTGGCCCTGTCTTGCTCTTCTTTTTCCAGAAGCTTAAGATTCAGTATTATGTTGTTTATTTGAGCTCGCTCTGTTTTCCTAGTGTGGGCATTCACTGCTATGAATTTCCCTTGTAGAACTGCTTTCATTATGTCCCATAGATTCCTGTATGTTGTACTGGGGTTATCAATTAATTGCAAAAACTGTCTAATTTCTTCTTCAATTTTCTCTATGACCCATTGGTTGTTCAGGAGAGTGTTATTCAATTTCTATGTGTTTGTGAAGTTCTTGCAGTTTCTTATGCTATTGATCCCCAGTTTAATTGCACTATGATCTGATCATATACAAGGGATAACTTCAATTCCTTTACATTTACTTAAACGTGTTCTATGAACTAGTATGTGGTCTATTTTGGAGAATGACCCGTGTGCAGCTGAAAAGAATGTATATTCTGATTTTGTGGAGTGGAACACTCTGTAGAC